ACAGTATGTATGGGCCTAGGGCTTAGAAGTAAAAACACGGAAGTTATTTTCAGTGGATTCCTAAAGACAATACATTACATGAGCAACACAGAATGCTAACTAAAGATTTACAAGGAGACCTGGAGTGTAACATCCCTGTTCCCCTCTAAGAGCAAATAAAAATGATGGATTCCAGGCAAAATCCTACCTATTAGTCCACGTCTGACAGCCCTAACTGCCTTTCTGCGCATTAGTGTGAGTTTTATGTGCTCTCAGGACCTTCCTTGCATCGATATTGCCATAAGCAAACCCCTTAGAAGCCAGAATGTCAAACACAATGACGGCTCCTCCCTTCTGATGAGCAGAAAACAGTTTGCTAATGACGGTGAATCACGCTCTGCGCATGATGAGCACAGTGTGCACAGCTGGCGTGCTGGCAGAGGTGCCAATCAGGGTGTCTGTCAAAGTTGCCGGCTGCTACTGCTTTGTAATCAAATTAGGCTCATTACTTTGTTGATGACTCCCTTCTGGACTACCCAGGAAGCGGTGCACTTGTCCAATCCAGCAGAAACACATGCACATGTTCTATCCTCTTCTATTTCAGGGAGATCTGACCAGGATCACGCCAAGTCATACCCGAGTCTGACCTGAATCTATGCTGTGATTAACACAGCCCATCTGACCCTAATCTACTGTGCACCTGCTAGATTACAATTAGCCTCTCCTAGGAATTCTGGCTTTATTGCAGACCAGATACTAGGTAGCATCTGGTCAAGTGTAGTCTGTTTTAAATGTTAAGCACACAAACCTCAGGAATCTGTCCAAACAAGCATTTAGTCTAAATATCCTGATGAATAACAGCAAGGGCTAGAGGAACACTCCATGGGATAACTGAACCTCAGAACTGAGCTAGCTTATTATTGAGATGCTTATTGCATACCAAGCTATTGTTACTAAATGGATCACTGCGGTTACAAACATCCTGAACTCTAAGCTTGTGCATCTGAAGTATCCTCCAAAATATTCCAAGGAAACACCCTGTTCCATGTTCAGTTTAAGCTGAACATAACCAATACGGAAAAAAAGATGTTGAAAATGGAGCCGCAAGACAGCTTCGAAGAAACTCAATTATTAAAGACGAGGCATTTTTTATTTAACTCGGAAATATACTGCAATGAACAAAGCATCCCGTGTAGTCATAATTAACTGGAAAAGATTTTAGAGTAATTTTTAGAGTGTCTGGTGGATTTCATAAAATCATCAGGCGCTAACCTTTCTCTAACCTCTAGGAATTCAAGACGTGATAAGTGGTTACTCTGACTAGGCTGCTTCCTCAGAAGAAAGCCTGTAACATGCTGTCAAGAGAATCATGACGTCTGCACTGAGGGGGGCATGCAGCATGTTAGCATGGTGGTTTCATTGTTTCCGTGTGGCATGAGTTTTTCTCCAAATACTGGGTCCCATGATGGATGCATCTGGGCCTGCACTCCACCTTAATATCCTGGCCTATCTAGAGTGGATCTGGTCACTGGGAATCAACAAAAGGCCATATACTGTTCACACTGTAGATAGAGATTTAGAGGGTGAGTCAATGATTTTAAATGATTATCAATGCCTTTCATAATGCACACAATTGTCCTTTCTGAACAAATGGTATGATATTATCAGTACTGTTATATTTCAGAATGTCCCTACTGTCCAGTCATTACTCGACCAGTGAAAGATGCAAGATCAACTATGTCTGCTCTAATCGGGCAGGCCTGTTTCATTCACTCAGTAAAGCTCTAGGCTAGAATACAGTCTTGTTTTGGCAACAGAAAGATGCCAGATTGTGGCCTGGCTCCAACTCCATCTTCTTTTTCCATACAAACAGCTTTATGCTCCTCAGAGTAATGTTTTACAGAGGAAAGCTGAACTGACACCTATGGATGGAACATGATCAAATGAAAAACATACTGTATTAATCACTGTATTGTCAATGGATTCCAAAACCACTCAGACACAAAATATTTTAAAAAATACATACATTTCAGAGGGGTACTAATCCCCTTGTCTCAGCTAATTCAGTTAATAGGACCTTCTCTTCCCATGGGGCAAGGGACAAAGAGAAGATGGGCTGTTGGTAAATGTTAGATCCACTTTTGTGCAATTCTAAAATGTCAGTAGATCCAGTTTTCTTAAACCTGCAAAGTGCTTTCAGCTGCTCTTACTAGGATGTCATTCTCCAAAACAGAAAGGAATGCCTTTTGCACAAACATCCTGTTAAAATTGCAGCACTACTGCACATAGTTCAGTTCACAGTGGTTATTTAAAACCCTGATGCAAACAGTAAGACTGGGAAACGGACAAAATGGGGTATAAACTCCACCTTCATTTAGAAAATGCTGCGCCTCACCCTGCTGGGAGTGCTTGAGTTTATGGAAAGATAAAAAACCTCAGACACGGCTTTTATTCCAAAAACCTCCGCTGAGAGACACAATGAAAGCTAATGAGCCCCCTGCTGTGACTTCAGGGTCACATAAAATGGAACTGAGATACTGTACTGAGGTCTACTTTAGTAGAAAATGCTAAAGGGCCAGTTTAAAAAAAAAAACAAGGCCCATTTCCAAGAAAACTTTCTTCATCCAACCTCAAGGCTTTTATTTCCCTTCAAATCACAGCTGCAGTATGAATTTAAAATTTTGATCTTGATAGCTCATCATAACACAACATGACCCTTAGTGTCAAGATATAACACCTCACACTACATTTGCCTTATTCTCTAGTTTTCTTTTAACATGCTTTTAAACATACAGTACGCATGTTGTAAATATTTTCCTTATGCAAGGAAATCTAACTATATAACTAGTTTTTATCTGAATTAAACAATTTTATGTTTTTCTTGGAGTATCTCATTGAGGTCCAGCCTTTACTCCATTTTGTAGAGGGAGAGGAATGGAAGTCTGATCCCGTGTTGGCCTGTTGTTGGTGCCGATTCAAGTTCTCTTATCCAAAACCCAGCTCTCAAGTCAAAAGGCTTAACGGAAACCTCCTTAATTGCAGAAGCACAGGTACAAGTTGCATCATAGGCACAGCTTGAAGAACATCCTGTGCAGCACAATGCAACACTGAAGAGGCAGTAACCTCTCCTTTGGGTTCATTCACTAAGAATTTTAAAATTGTGACATTTCTCTCTCTTTCTCCTGACTATGAGGCACCACTAAGAAGGCCATAAACAAATAAACAATCAGGCAGAGCGATTTAATTCAAAACCTCAAAGCCACTGCAGGACAGCTTGGCGAATGGCAGAAGTAAGCCAGTGCAGCATTCACATTTCAGCTGCCAAGAGAAGCACAAAATGATTAAATCCCCTTCATCAGCAGTGAAAGTTGAAAATGAGGGGAAGAAAAAGTGCAGGTTCCTCATTTGTTACCGAGACATAATTTTGTACTGTAATCATTGCACTAAACGTGCTTCACTGCATTGAAGGAAGTGGGCTGCAAAAGATGAGGACATATGAGTCTCTGTGCACAGGCATATTACATAACAGTGTCACAGCTTCAGCCTGCAAAGGGTTATGAGATTCCCAGTTAAACAGCATCACGCCAATGCACTTAACACTACAATGAGCCTTGTCTCAAACTGGAATGTTAATAGGGCTTTAACTCAATCAGCCAGCTCACTAAGCTGACTGTCACGAGATTAAGAAGATTCTTTTTCAATTCAATCAAGCATTATGTAGCTATCATTTGTTCTTTTTATTTGCATTATGAATTAATATAATCAATGTTCAGTTCCTCCTCCACTCCGATACTGATCTCCATGCTGATATAATTTATCTTAATGCCAAAAATTCAGTTTGACTTTGACACGTGGTGGACATTCACAGATGTGCGTCTTGCCCATTCTTCAAGAATGCTCTCTTATCAGTCAGTTACATTAATACCCCAGATTCTTTTCCTTGTAACACTGGTAGCATGCACTTTACAGATTTGGTTTTACAGTTTACCCCTGCGTTTGCTCCTTTTGCTACACCTAATTTGTTTTTCAGTCACATACTGTAGATTGATGCACCACTGAATAACAAAAGTTGCAAGCTAAACAGCGAGCTTTTAAAAGTGCATAGCCTTAGCTTATTTCTTTTGAATTAACTCATCTTTGTACGCAGGCTCCACCACTGTCTAAATCAATCCTTCCAGAGGTTCCTTAATTTGACTTTTTAATTCAGTAACGTGTCATTCGCTAGCTGGGTTAGTCCTTTCAAAGCATGTTAAATACTAAATGGAAAAAAAAAACAAGTTACCGAACATCAACGCTCACAATTATATCAACAAGGACAACAAGGGTAAAGTCTGGGCATTCAAGAGCTAGATAAGTCCTGTTTGTATATCTCTCTTTTGAGGTATTTGCATTCAGAGGGAATTTGAATTTAGCAAGACTAATTCACCTGGCATGACAGCCTCTCAGTGACTATTCAGCATACAACCCTGCTGAATAAACATACTGCTTTAGATACTAAAGATCTCCCTTTCCTGTTTTTGTGTTATTACATGACCAGTGCTGACCTCCTGTTCAGTAGTACAATAGTCAGGAAATCCTAGACAGCAGAAATACACGTGTACAAAAAGAAGACAGGTGAGAGCTGTCAGGAAGCACCTACTGTATCTCCTCTACCACATAAACAGCTCCTTAACATCAATCTCTATTTAAATATCTGAAAGCCTTAAATCTAATCAAAGTGATTCCCAGGACCAGATTACTCTGCAAATCCCTTCATAGCTCAGGAGACTTGTAGGGCTGGCATCCTTAAGCACAGAGAAACAAGAATAAAATCAAGTCAAGGACAATCTTGAGTTTTAAAGCCTCAAGTCGGAGACTTTTCTGGCTCTGCAGCCCAGTAAAGTCGCAGAGCTGAAAGTCTGAATTTTGTAGAACACTGACTACAGCATGAGTAAGGTCCCTGAACAGCACCACTTCCAAGTTCCGTTAGAACAGTCACTGGGATGGGACGAGTAGGCTGCTCTCATTTGTCATCCTCTTACCAGCAGATCAGGCCAGCGGTGACGGCCGTCCAGGTGACACAGCAGGAGTTGGGCCTCTTGGTCTCTTCCTCCTCCTCCTTGCGGCAGCAGCACAGGCAGCTCAGGTAGATGGCCAGGAAGAGCAGGTTGAGCCCCAGGCCTGCTGCCGCCACACAGACCAAGAATATCAAAGACTGGAGAGGGCGGGAGAAAGAGAGAAAGAGAACAGTGAGATAGGGAGTACACAAGAGTAAAGGAGATCAAAAGAGAGGGCTAGATGGGCCACATAGCTTCCTCTCACTTGTAACCTTTTTGTGCTCTTATGAGAACTTTAGGGCAGCTCCATGCAAGACATCAGGCCTATCTTGATGTAACAAAAATGCAGCACAACAAACCGGGCTTACAATTCTTCTTCTGCTGTGGGATGCTCGACAGAATTACAGGATGGACTAGAAGGCTGCCCTGGCCTTCACCAACATCAGAAAGGAGCAGTATAACATCCAGCTGCTGTCCCTCCTTGAAACATGTGAGCTTAGCTGGTATCTTCGTCTTTGCTTTAGTAGCTCCTGGGTCATCAGATGAATGTGGGAGTAATGGTGCTCAGAGGAAAGAAAAATATCTGGATGACTATGTGATACGCTGACCTGAGTCATCTCAAAGGAGCAGGGTCTGTGACAGTAAAAACTGAGGCCTGTGTAAATGCATCATTTCCAGTAGGAGTGAATGGCATCTACAAAGACCTTCCTGGCACTGTCACAGTATTGACAGCACACTTCCGCTACTGAGCAGCACACTTCTTAACACCCAGGCTTGGACCTCGTGGCAAGTCCTCTAGCAGTCAAATGCATTCACACTCAACTGCCAAGACCTCTCCCTTTTACGGGATTTCAGATATTATCATTCACACAGGTTTGGAAGTTAAAATGCTGGTAGTACTTTTGTCCTTATAAGACCATACACAAAGCCAAGCTAAGCTCAAATCCTATACAGTACGTGGTCTATCAGGCCTTAAACTTGAACTGCCCCACCCAGGGATTCTCGGCTTGATGCCAGTCAGCAAGACACAAGCTGCACTTCCACTTTAAAAGATCCGGAACAAAGAGTTCTTCATTGGATCCAAATCATTTAACAGTGATTCATCCTGGGAGACAGGGAGGGAGTGTGCAAAGTCCTAACTCCCTGGGTTTTGCATCTCAGGATTATCCCTTCTGCAGCCCAAGACAAGAGACTCTTAATCCTTCTGTTCCTGCTCCATCTGTGGGGTAATGAGCATCTTGCAGCCACTGAGCCAGTATGAATGAGCACACACTAGCTCGATATGGGCATTCTGTGGTTTAGGAATAAAAAATAAAAAGTACAGTTTACTTTTATTACCTATTTCTATACCAACAAATTAAGCCTTTCAGCTAATTTGACATTTTGTTTGTAGTTTACCACAGTGATTTTTCTTTTATAAATAGCCGTAGAATTGACAATGAGTAGCTTGATGGAGAGTACTGTGGAAAATTCCCCATGTTGCTTTTGAAAACAGCCACAACACTGATCGATTGCACTATCTTAGATGCCTCTCCATTACCAAATGGCTAGAGCCCTGCATAACTTAATTTACTTTCTAGGCAGAAGCGGTGGCATTATTAAAAGCACAGCATCTTGCACACCAGCACCGATTCATCAATGGGCTCAGATTAGTAAACCCCAGTAGTGTTCCCTTGTCCAAGCTGTGCTGTCACTCTAGGTGAAGCGAATAGTGATTTCTGGGAAGCTCGCAGTGGGGGATGGGGGGGTAAGACCAGTGGTTACAGCCCCCTGGCAGAGGTGAAGGGTTTCCATGGCAACTTCCTGGTTCCTGGGTGCCCAGGCAAAGGGATGACTGAAAGGAGGAATTATCACAGTCCGTTTGAATTAAGTAGCATGTGACAGCCCGCTGAAACACTGCACTTGAGTCTTGTGATTCCTAAGCACTGAGGTCTATGTGCGAGTGTGTGTGTGTGTGTGGGAGGGAGGGGGGTTCTTATCACATGGGAGACAGCAAAAGAGGAAACGAGCATGAGAGACAAAGAAAACTAGAAATGAAAGGCTGGACACAGAACAGTTATTATTAAACGTGGAGCAATGGAATAGATCAACTCAGCAAGTGGTAAAACTCCAAAAGTACCTTACTGCATGTAGAAAATCGGCCATAAAATTTCAAAATACAGAAGTCATAATATGCACCACTCCAATATGCCCTTAAGGAAAAAAAAAAGGAAGCAGACTTAAAAACTTGTAGCAGGCTTGTTCCCGCAAAGAAAGAATGCGACGCGGTCCTCATTCTGGCGTTAGCTGTTGTTCTGTGCTACAGCACCTTTAGCAGTTTTTCCCCCAGCAAAGTTCCCTCTACTGGGCACTGGGGTGGGGGGAGCCTTCAGGAGGAATCAAAGGAGGAGCTCAGCTCACAGAAAGAAAAAAGAGGGAGGGAGGGAGGAAGAGAGAAGAAAGCCCAGGGACACAGGAGAGAAAAACACAGGGGTGGAGCGAAGGAGGCAGGGGGGAAGAGAGAAAACAAACGGGGAAAAGAACAAAGGAGCCTATTCTGGGATGAAGGACTAGGAATCTGCCATTCAAAAACCTGATATATAGTACTTCACTGCCAAATCTCCCGGTTGGCTGTACAAACTCCAACCTTATATAATGTGTAACTTTTTTAAATTCAGAATCCATAATAAAATATATACACTGTCATGTCTACTTATAAAATACTCTAGGTCAAGCATCCTTATTGACCAGCTTTGAGTGAACAAAATTGTAGGTACACCTGTTAATCCTTTAATACTGTACTTCTACTGCACATTAGACTGTTCATGACTAATCCATTTTGATTGAATAGGCACTTACTTTAATGTCAGACAAAACGGATAAAAATCAAGTGTCTCTGTGTGGCCAGCGATGTCTTCTGTAGTTGTGTGCCCTGGGGCGATAAAAGAAGCATTATCTGTGTCTAACGTTAATGGAATATCAAAAGATGAAAGAAAAAGAAATTCCCAGACAACACCAGGGGAGCCATTTACCATATCACAAAGACAAAGAGCTGGTATGAGGTGTCCTGTGGGCAAGTAATAATCCCTTCTGGGGGTCTGCTCTAGTCTCCCAGCCAGGCTCTGCTGATTACCAGGAGAACTGAGGTGCAGCTGTGACACAGCACCACTGACACTGCTGAAACAAGAACAGCATCTCCTGCTGTCTCCACTCTACACACTGAGAATCGGCGATGACAAGACGTGCTTTTCTGGAGAGACCATTCACTTGTGAGATGGGAACTGGTACCAAGAACCCAGATTAATTAAATGAATTAAGAGTTAATCTTAATGTTTTTCTTACAGGTATCATGAAATCTATTGTTGTAACAGGACAAAACCTTTTTTGTTTGCACATATGTGTAGGTCCACATATAGCGTTAATGCTGTGTCTGGACTGTTTCATAGTTATGATTAATTCATATATCGTAACTGAGAAATTAGAAAACTACACAGAGGCCAAGCACAATGCAAAGCAGCTGTGATTCCAAGATTCCAGGGGAGCAAATGTTTGCTTTTACATCATTTTGTCAAAGTGCCACTATTAAATTTCTGCATTGCAAAACAGGAAGGGAAAGCACCTCTGCTTTGTTTTATATGACCTCAAACCAGATATGTTTAATGCCTTATGTTTTACTTATATTAAATAAAACAGAAGCATTAAAATAACTCTTAATTATAATTCTACATACAGTACATTGAAAAAATAATAAAAGTAATATGAATTGAAATGTGTGCTTAAATTTTTCAATTTTAACAAATAGTTCTGCATTTTTATTTCTGAATATTATAACACTTCGTTATTTTTTTATACATTTTAAAATTCAAGTGTACGTCCATTTTATTGACTGCTGCTTTTCACCGTCACTTAGTCTCCATACATATCGTGGAACTATGAAAATATTCATCAACAATTCAAGGTAATTCATGAACAGTGCTTGTCTTAAATGTTGCTCATGAGAATTGTTTTTAATTCAGAAATTCATTCAGGGCACTTTCATTATACGCTCATGTCTATTTTGAAATGAAGAATACACTAAGAGAACGATTTGTTTCTGAGCTGTTCAATTAAATTTTACAAACACTTCCTAACATTTTCTTAGGAGTGGATCATTCAAGATCCCAGGTGTTTCTCCTTTTCACAACGTTTATTTTAACCTGGCATCTAATGTCTTATTGATGTATATTGGGGGACTCTTTTCTGACATTTGTCTAGAAAATCATAGAAATCTTGATAGCATGCCAACAACACTGCAGATTATTTATAACAATGCAACACCCATGTTGTAGTGAGCAGGAACTGAGAGAAGGTCAGTACAGGCAATTTTTCAAATGCTGATATTGCTGCTTTTAGAACATCTGGGAGATCAAAAAAACCCAGAGAACATGACTACACTAAGAGCAGACTGGAACCAGCAACATAAATCCAGACACTGGAATACTAGACGAGCTACTGCATTAGTTATCCGGTGCTATACGATGATCTTGTTTATGCAAATGTTGATAATATTGGGATGTTCAGGTTTTACAGTGTGTTATGCCAATACAGTTATTTTAGAATTGATAACATTTTGGCCCAGTCATTCTCTAGTACTTACTGCAATCTGTATGTGAACACAGAGTACACATACTGTATTTCAGTGCGCACACACACGCGCGGAGTAGATGATAATCTTCTCCGACAGACATATTGCCGTTTTCAAGCAGGAGTGCCTGTGAGCTTTTTCTTTAAACAAGGACATCACCTCACGCTTCAATGCTTCACGGGCCCGAAATCCACCTGGTCCTTTAATTTTACTCATCCCAGAACTCAAGCCCAGCTTGCGTGTAGCAAAACATCTAATCCCTGACTCCTGCTTCACACTGGCAGCACAGCGCATTTAGAGTGCACATTTCAAGAGGCAAAGATTTTCACCAAAAGAAAAAAAACAGCAAAATAACAAATAAGTAATATGATTCCTTCATGGTGGCGCAGTGGTTAACATAGCACTGCTGGGGCCCTGAGTTCAGTTCCACATGGAGCCTGTACTGTGTGTTGTCCATGTGTTTGTGTGGGTTTCCCCCACAGTGAGCTCCACTTTCCACCCACAGCCCAAAGACATACTGGTAGGTTAATTGGCTTCTGGCAACTGTGACCCTGG